TTTTTTTTTGTTGTTGTTTTTCAGAGCTGAGGACCGAATCCAGGGCCTTGTGCTTGCTAGGCAAATGCTCTACCACTGAGCTAAATCCCCAACCCCAAAACCTGTTTTTTGTTTTGGTGTTGAAGGTAGTTATTTTACCAAAACTTTTCTTTATACTGCTCTGGCTTTAGTTCCTCTGCCATTTGTTTGTTTTTGTCTGTCCCCTCCTTTGGTCTTGTCTTCTCATATGTGCCTATAGCTGCTCTGAAGCTCAGTATTAAAGAATTTACTTTTTCCTGGTGTAGGCCAATTGGGAAGACAGCCCTGGATTAGAAAAAGACAAGCATCAGCTGGGTCTATGTGTGTGCAGCTAAAATAGATACAGCCGTGAATCTGTCCACTAAGGCAAATGAGTTCATAACCTATACCTTCCAGTGGCACCATGGACTGCAAGCAGTCAGGCTGTCAGGGAAAGGCATATAACCTTAGCCCTAAACTCTACTGTAGAGTTTTGGGGATCATCAGAGGAACCCTATTTTGTTTTTTTGTTTTTGTTTTTTTTTTTGGTTTTTCGAGACAGGGTTTCTTTGTGTAGCTTTGTGCCTTTCCTGGAACTCACTTGGTAGACCAGGCTGGCCTCGAACTCACAGAGATCTGCCTGCCTCTGCCTCCCGAGTGCTGGGATTAAAGGCATGCGCCACCACCGCCCCGCAAGGAACCCTATTTTTAGTCTAGAAATAGGAATATATGAAAAAGTAGTCACCAAGTATCCCTGTCTACAGAAGACCAACACTTTCTATTTCCCCCTGTATGGGGGAGTCTCATGACCAGAAGTGGCAGTCAAAGCAGGCAGGTAATACAAATAGTATTGTGATCTTCAGCTTGGACAGGACCCAGGTGACCAGTGGTGTTTCTGGTCCAATTGCTCTGTTCTAAACCTACTAAAGCAGTATATTTAGAGGTCACTTCCCCAACTGCCAGAGTGTCTAAGAAGCCCTACAGTAGTACCCAGATTTTGGCAAACTACTACTTTTTTAGCTCCTACACATATTTTTTATTTGTTTGTTTTTTGAGACAGAGTTTCACTGTGCAGCTCTGGCTGTCCTAGAACTCACCCTGTAGACCAGGCTGGCCTCGAACCCTCAAATTCACAGAAATCTGCCTGCCTCTGCCTCCTGAGTGCTAAGATTAAAGGTGTTAAAGGTGTGCGCTACCACCGTCCTAGCTGCTCCTACACATCTTTAAATTTTTTTTTTTTTTTTGTGTGTGTGTGTTATGTATAGGGGAGAGACTTGCACTTATGGCACACATGTGGAAGTCAGAGAACAACTTGTGGAGTTGGCTCTCCTTTGACCTTTAATTAGGTTTTGGGATTGAACTAAGGTCACATTCAAAGCTAGCACTTTTACCCAATGAGTCATTTTATCATACCTCATAGTCTTCTTATTTTTAGAAGCTAAATCTCATTTATTTTGTATGTGTGTGCAGGTGTAGAAACCTCAGATATCATTCCTGAGTCATCATTTACTTTTTTGTTGCGGGGAGGAGGGGAGGGTTCTGTCACTATCCTAGAACTCATGAAGTTGGCTAGGCTGACTGGCCAGTGAGCTCCAAGAATCCACCTTGTCTGTCTCCTTTCATGCTGAGATTACAAGTGCACTACTTCCTGTTTTCTTTACAGGAGTTCAGGGCACTGAACTTAGTTAGGTCCTTGTGCTTGCAAAGTCAAAATTTAGTGACTGAATTATCTCTCCAGCCCCTAAATCTCATGTGCATGTGTGGTATATATACATGTGTTATGATATGTGGGTACATGTGCCTGTGCTTGTGTATGCAGAGGCAGCCTAATTCTTCCTCTATTACTCTCCACCTTGGTTTTTTTAAATGATTTATTTATTTTTATTTTATGTGCATTGGTATTTGTCTGCATACATATCTGTGTGATGGTGTCAGATCCCCTTGGAGGTAGAGTTATAGGCAGTTGTAAAGCTGCCATGTGAGTACTGGGAACTGAACCCAGATCCTTTACAAGAGAAACAAGAGCTCTTCTTTTTTTTTTTTTTTTTTTTTTTTTTTAAAGATTTATTTATTTATTATGTATATGGAAGAGGGTGCCAGATCTCATTACAGATGGTTGTGAGCCACCATGTGGGTGCTAGGAATTGAACTCAGGACCTCTGGAAGAGCAGTCGGTGCTCTTAACCATCTCTCCAGCCCACAAGAGCTCTTAAACTGAGTCATTTCTCTAGCCCCAACCCTAGTTTTTGTCCATGTTCTGATACTTTTTTTAAAAAAGAGCATACACAAATGATGAGCTTGATAGCTGAGCATGTAGTTCTGGGAGGCAGCTGGCATTCCAATCATCTCACACTGTTTGTTTGTTTGTTTGTTTGGTTTGGTTTTTCGAGACAGGGTTTCTCTGTGTAGCTTTGCTCCGGAACTCGCTTTGTAGACCAAGCTGGCCTCGAACTCACAGAGATCCACCTGGCTCTGCCTCCCGAGTGCTGGGATTAAAGGCGTGTGCCCCCACTGCCCGGCCTCACACTGTTTTTTAACCTCTCCATTGTCTTTCTTTAGGAACCAGGATTCCTAACTGCATTTGAATACAGCGAAAAGAGGAAGATGGTTTTCCATATCACCACTGGGAGTCAGGAATTTGAGTGTGTATTTCAGTTTTTATTACTACTAAGTAAAGTCTTTGGAGTCCATTTTTCTTTTCCTCTATCTCATCATGATTTCCACTATTGTGAGTAGAAATAGTTTCCACCTTTGAAGGCGTTTGTAGTGTTTGTTCCAAGATGAATGTGAGGCAAATTCCAGGCTGCTTGTAGGAACAGATTACATTTCTTCCAAGGAATTCATGCTCATAAGTTGTTTCTAATTTAACCTTTATTTATCTATGACTTGAAATATCAGCTTACATTTCATTCCTTTCCGTCTTCGTTGAAGAAAATTTCATTTCCCACTTTGTGTTTACTTAAAAATCAGTTGTTATAGAGTGAATATTTTAGAAGAAATAATCTACTATAGGGCTTATTCCTCAGCAAGGGTGGTTCTAGAATCCCTTTTCATTTACTCTTATGATTTCTGACATGTATTGCCATTTCTTCCCAAATTGATTATAATGAGATTTCCCCCAAATATTTCATCTATCTTTTTTTTGGACTCTCATTAGATTATCCAGGATGATGTTAAATATAGGCACTCAAGTGACCTTCCTGCTTCCAAGTAGCCAGGGCCACTGAGCCTGACTTTATTATTATTTTTTATTATAGTTAATTTAGCCAGGTGGTGGTGGCACATGTCTTTTATCCCAGCACTTGGGAGGCAGAGGCAGGTGGATGTCTGTGAGTTCAAAGCCAGCCTGGTCTAGAGAATAAGTTCCAGAACAGCTAGGGCTACACAGAAAAATCCTATCTAAAAAAAAAAAAAAAAAACAGCAACAACAAAGTTGATTTATAAATCTTTCTCCCTGACTTATTTATCTCTTCTTCCCGCAAGAGCCTATAATTGTAGTATATTTATGAAAGAAGCTATGTGGTTTATTTTTTAATAGTAGAACAGACAGGGTTTGCTAATGAAGCATAATTAGGTATAACGGGGTTACTAAGGATAACACCTAGGTTTTAAGTCTAAAGATCAGAAAAATATAGATCACAAATAAGGGACTTGCAGGAGGGGCAGATTTAGGACCAAAGGCTGAAGACTATGAAGTCTAAGCTATTTATTAGACCAAAATGAATAAATGAATGCTAAGCTGAGTGCACAGCCCAGGACACACACACATATTCTCTCTCATTCTCTCTCTCTCTCTCTCTCTCTCTCTCTCTCTCTCTCTCTCTCTCTCTCTCTCTCTTTCTCTCTTTCTCTCTTTCTCTCTCGTTTGGTTTTTTGAGACAGGGTTTCACTGTGTAGCCCTGGCTTGTCCTGGAACTCACTCTGTAGACCAGGATGGCCTGGAACTCAGAGATCCTTCTGACTCTGCCTCCCAAGTGCTGGGATTAAAGGCATGTGCCACCACTGCCCAGCCCAGGACTCTCATTTTTAATACCATCATATCACCACTACTATACTTAAAATTATTAATTCCTTTGTCATCAGTTATCTTCCCAGAGAGCTCAATTTTCTGTCTCATGGATGACTTTGTGTGTGTGTGTGTGTGTGTGTGTGTGTGTGTCTGTCTGTCTGTCTGTCTGTCTGTCTGTCTAGGATCTTATGTGTTACTCAGGATGACTTGAACTTATCATCTTTCTACTTCAGCCTCCCAAATGCTGAGATTACAGACCATGCACCACCATAGCTGGCTATTTGTCTAATTACTAACTAGGCTAGATGTGGCCCAGTGATCAAGTGCTCACTTAGCAGTATTCAATCCTCAGTGCCCCCAAGAAAGCAAGATCTTTCCTCAAAGGTACAACATATCTTTAAAGTCTAATAATCTTACAAGTGTAGTAAGGCTTAGGCATTCATAAATGTTCAGCTGCTGCTCATAACTTAGTTATCAACTTCAAAACCACAGTTCTAATGCAACTCTCCTGGAGCTATTCTATTATCATCAGAAAGCCAAAGTCTCTCATACTTTGAAAGTTCTCAAACACTAAATAGTAATGTGTAGATTTGATTTGTATCTGTTTAAATCTTTCTAGATTTAAAATATTACTCTTCTGCACCTAATTCTAAATATTCCTGAGTTTTGCAAAGGAAATAATTTTATTATCTCAAATAATTTGGGCTGCTTTCATAGGTAAGTTTTAGGGTTACTTTTTTAACTTCTCAACCTTGCATAAATACCAGAAATTTTGACTAATATTTTCCAAAACTATACATTTTCAGGTTGACTCTTCTCAAGATGAAGAATAGCATTCGAATTCTTTTTTTTTATTTTTTATTTTTTTATTTTACAGTACCATTCAGTTCTACATATCAGCCACGGGTTCCCCTATTCGAATTCTTTTTGTTGTTGTTGTTTTGTTTTGTTTTTCGAGACAGGGTTTCTCTGTGTAATTTTGGTGCCTGTCCTGGATCTCACTCTGTAGACCAGGCTGGCCTTGAACTCACAGAGATCCACCTGGTTCTGCCTCCTGAGTGCTGGGATTAAAGGTGTGCACTACTGCTACCCCGTAGCATGCAAATTCTTTAATAGTCACCTTTCCAAGGGCTTTCACTCCTCGTGGGATTTTTTTGTAGTCAGTGTCCACAGGTTATACATGCCAGTGTCTAACTTTTTCTTATATTGTTTTATGTGTATGAGTATTTAGCCCATGAAGGCCAGAAAAGGTATTGTATCCCCTGGAACTGGAGTTACAGATGGTTGTGAGCCACCATGTGGGTGCTAGGAATCAAACTCAGCCTTCTACCAGAGCAGCAAGTGCTCTTAACCACCGAGCCATCCCTCCAACCCCTTTTCTTTTCTTAATTGAAATCAGCAGAGCCCTCATTAAGTTTGTGGATAACTTCCAAAATGCTTCAATTTTCATTTAAATTGCTGTCTTACTTAGACAAATATAAATCTGTTCTCTTAAGGCTTTGTCTGATTTGTGATTGCATCCCCAAAGACATGCTAATAGAAACTACAAAGGCTTTTTAAGTGCTCCTACCAGGTCTCAGACAGTAACACATACTTACTGCATTTAATGATTGGATGAGATCATAACTTCTTTAGTTCTTCTCATATTGAGAACGTTCAATTCACTAAAACGTTGTGTTACCAATTAAACATATGCTATCAAAACCAGGCAGTTTTCCTCTAAGTGCTAACATTGTATATACTATTTATCTTAGTTAGGGTTTCTATTGATATCATAAGACACCATGACCAAAGGTAACTTGGGGAGGAAAGAGTTTATTTCTTCTTACAGCAACCCCCACTCCTTTCTCTTTGGCGTTTTGAAATAGGATCTGTCTGTAGCTCTGCCTGTCCTGGAACTCACTATGTAAACCAGGCTGGCATTGAACTCACAGAGATCCTCCTGACTCTGCCTCCCCTGTGCTAGGATTAAAGGTGTGCACCACACTCCACTCTCATAACTCTTAGGTCACACTCCATCAGAGACATAAATTAGGGCAAGAACTCAAGGCCTGAGCCTGGAGGCAGGAACTGAAGCACAGGCTACGGAGGAATGCTTCTTACTGGTTTGTTCCCGTGGCTTGCTCAGCTTGCGTTCTTGTTACACCCAGGACGATCTGCCCAGGAATGACAATGCCTACAGTGGGCTGGGTCCTCCCACAGCAGTCATTAATCAAGAAAATGCCCTCCAGACTTGCCTACAGGCCATTCTGATGGAGACATTTTCTTTATTAAGATTTCCTCTTTCCTGATATATCTCAGCTTCTTTCAAGATAACAAAAAACAAAAACAGCATACTATCTTTGAACATTTTCTTTTCTGACAGGGTCTGCCTAAAATTTGGTTTTAGGTGAGATTAAACCAACGATGACAATCACTGGATTCTCTTAATGTGTGTCTTTCATACACTGCTGAACATATTAAAAATTAAAGCTGGGGGGCTGGTGACATGGCTCAGTGGTTGAGAGCACTGATTGCTCTCTCAGAGGACCTGGGTTCATTTCCCAGCACCCACATGGCAGCTCACAACTGTCTGTAACTCCAGTTCCAGGGCATCTGACACCTTTATACAGACATACATGCAAGTAAAACACCAATGGACATAAAATAAGAATAAATAAATCATTAAAAGATGCTTTAAAATGTTTTAAAATATTAAAGCTGGGCATGGTGGCACATGCCTTTAACCCCAGCACTTAGAAGGCAGAGGCAGATGGATCTCTGTGAATTTGAAGCCAGCCTGGTCTACAGAGTGAGTTCCAGACCAGCCTGGTTTACATAGAGAGACATGCCTGAAGAAAAAAAAAATGAATATTCAGTTAACTTTTAGAAACATTATCTGTGCACAGTTTGAGAAACTTGATTAGTAACAAGACCATTGCATGTGTGTAGTTCAGGCTTTACTTAGCATGTGCAAGACCTGGTTCAATCCCTAGCACCACAATAAACACTTTTTTTTTTTGTTGTTGTTCATTTTTTTTGAGACAGGGTTTCTCTGTGTAATCCTGGCTGTCCTCAAATTAGCGCTGTAGACCAGGCTTGTCTCAAACTCATAGAGATCCTCCTGCCTTGACCTCCCCAGTGCTGGGATTAAAGGCGTGCACTACCACCACCCACCCAGTTTAACAGCTCTTTTAATTCTAATTCAAAAGAATAATGGACATAAAGCCTTAGGGACTTATTTACTATTGATACTCAGAAGAATCAGGGCTTATAAATTACTTTGTTCATCTTCCTGCTCATCTAATATAGAACCTGTAATCTAAACAGTGACTATCATTTCTTTCAACTATGATTTTTTTTTTTTCTCGAGACAGGGTTTCTCTGCAGTTTTGGTGGCTGTCCTGGAACTCACTCTGTAGCCCAGACTGGCCTCAAACTCACAGAGACCCCCTGCCTCTGCCTCCCAAGTGCTGGGATTAAAGGTGTGTGCCACCACACCTAGCTCATCTCCTTTCTTGATATTTTTTTTCCTTTCTTGATATTTGTATTTATATTCTGTCACCAAAACTTTATGTCTGTTTCCAGTAAATTACTAGGAGGTGGCATTGAAAGTATGGCAATAACAGAAGCTTTTGGAGGTAGGTAATACGTAAATAATTTAATATGAAATAACATGTTTATATATAAATAAATATATAATTAAATAATAAATAAGTTCCTGTTGGGAATTTTTGATGAAGTGTCAATTATTATAATTCAGGATTATTCCAAGCTAAAATGAAAATATATATTAACATTAGCATATTTCTTACTGACACTTTTCTTCCTCTTATCTCTGGTTACTATATAAAGAAATTGAATTTTTTTCTTATTCCCTCAAAAGGTGCCTCAATAATGTTGATCTTTTGTTTAGGCAATGCATATTCCATGAATATAGAGAATAAATTTATTCTCAGTTTATAGTATATATAGTATGGTGTGTGTGTGTGTGTGTGTGTGTGTGTGTGTGTGTGTGTGTGTGTGTGTGAGAATTCAGGGTCTTATTGTGTGGCCCTGACTGGCTTGGAACTCACAAAGAACTACCTGCCTTTGCCTCCCAAGTGCTAATATTAAAGTCCTGCACCACCATACCTGGCCTGTGTGCTATATTTTCTTACAAATAATCCATGTATTCCTGTTTTACATGCTGAGTCTGACAAGCCAACATTTACAGTCAGAGACTAAGTCTTTTGTTGTTACTGTTTCTGTTGACTTGATGAAGCAAATCTAATTTTTATTATTTCTATTGACTCAAACTTAGCAATTTCTCTTCTTATATATTATATGAGCTTTTTAAAAATTTAAACTGAAGCCGGGCGGTGGTGGCGCACGCCTTTAATCCCAGCACTCGGGAGGCAGAGCCAGGTGGATCTCTGTGAGTTCGAGGCCAGCCTGGGCTACACAGTGAGTTCCAGGAAAGGCGCAAAGCTACACAGAGAAACCCTGTCTCGAAAAACCAAAAAAAAAAAAAATTTAAACTGAGAGTTCAGTGGACCTAAGTGATTAGGGAAGTTTTTCTATGGAGAACATTTGCTTCTGCTGGCAGCTAGGGATGTCACCATTCAAGATCTCATCAGCTTTTCCTTGAGATCTCAGCACAGTGAAAGAGCCTGGCTGTCCTTTCTGGGGTCAGGTCTTAAACTTTCATTTGTGTAAGTAGTCCTATGGAAAATTTGCTTTAAATTAACTTTAACCTAAACAGTACTTATGTTGAGGGGATGAATTTGTTTTCTCTCCCACTTTTGGTATTCATACATGCAGCATCCTTTTGTGATAGGAGGACCTTTAAGAGTGAGATTTGACAATTAGAAAGCAGTGGGGTCTTCTGTGGAGGGGAATACTGGAGATAGAGTTTGGGGCCTTGGGCATTTTAGACAAGATTTTTTAGACCACTAAGTGACACTTCTAACCCAAATGCAGTGTTAGTTTTGTTTGTTTAGTGAAAATATATAAATAGTAACTGTCCTTTTTAAAAAGTTCCTTTTTCTAAATTTCACAGAATTTCGTACTGGAAAAACTCAGCTGTCTCATACCCTCTGTGGTAAGAACACATTCTAACATCAACAACATAACAGTGATAGTCAGAACATTCACTTACTGGACCTCTACTGCATTTTACATGATCGTATGCAGTGGACCAAATGTTCGAGGAAACAAAACTCAAGAGGTTAAGTACAGTCCATTGTTACACAGATAGTTTTGGAATGTGTGTGTTTGAGGTACATTGTCATGCTGCACTATGAACACCTGAATGAAGTACAGAGAAGGTAAGTGGTTTGGGTGAATTGGCAAGAGAGGTACCCAGTGTATCAAATTCTTCCTCTCCATCTTTCCTACCTTGTTAAAAAACAGCAGTGACAAAATTTATTGAAGAGTAGAATACTTTACTGCCTGTGGCGTGTATTCTGTTTAAAGAGAAGCATAAAATTAAATTTGGGGCCCAGCAAGGTGGCTCAGTGGATAATAAAGGCACTTGCCTCCAAACCTGAAACACTGAGTTTGATCTCTAGAACCCACATGGTGGTAGGAGAGAGCTGACTCCCACAGTTGCCCCCTGACCTCCACAAACATGCCATTGTATCATGTGCCCCTAAAATAAATAAATAAATAAATAAATAAATAAATAAATAAATAATTGGGGTGTTTGTTTTGTGACAGGGTTCACTATATAATTTTGGCAGGACTGAAACTTGCTGTGTAAACCAGGCTGGCCTTGAACTCACAGGGATCTGCCTGTCTCTGCCCCTCGAGTGCTGGGATTAAAGGTATGTGCCACCACACCTGGCAAATATAAGTTTTAAAAAGAGTAAGTATATAATTTTTTTCTAAAACAAAATAAACAAGAAATTTCTTATTAACAGATTCGATTTGCATTCTTTTACTTGAATAAAAGGAACATAGAAAAGTAGTTAATAGGGGGTTCTGATGTGCACCCTAACGCATGTGAACATGCATACAAGATAACACAACACACAAATACAAGAAAAAAGTGAAAAGGGGGCCGGCATTCTAGAATCAAAATGTCTTGGTTCTATCACTGATAGCTGCATGACTGTGGGCAAGTTGCTTTACCCTTTTAGTTGTACTCATAGTAAAACTGAAATTATAATGATAGTGCCAAATCTTGGGGAAGTTTTGAAAAGTAAATGAAATAGTGTGCATGCCTAGTATGAAGTAGTTCTTTATGTTAACTACTGCAATGCAATACATATGAGTTGGGGATGGAGCTTGGTTGACAGAATCATGTCTAGCATACATGAAGCCCTAAGTTCAATCCCCAGCCCTATATAAACCTGCTCAAGCCTATAATCTTAGCTCTGGAGAGATGGATCAGAGTTCAAGGTCATCCTGGCTATATAGTCAGTTGGATGCCAATTTGGGATACACGAGAACCTACCTTTTTAAAAAAAAAATAAATGCTTGGGCTGTGGGGAAATGGCTCAGTTGAGAAAAGCGCTAGCCACATAATTATGAGGGCTTAAGTTTGCATCCATAGCACTTCTGTAAGAAGCTGGGCACTGCAGCACACACCTATAATCACAGTGCTGGGGAGACTAAGACAGGAAGATTCCTGGGCCTTGCTGCCTACCAGTCTAGCACAATCAATAAGTTCCACATTCAGTAAGAGATGCTGAATCATAAAAGGTGGACATACATGTGCACACACACAGGAACAGCTACACATGCCTACAGTACACACATACATAAAGGTTACTAAATAAATTATTTAGCATAAATTGTATTTGTGGCCAGGTGGTGGCAGCACATGCCTTTAATCCCAGCACTTGGGAGGCAGAGGCAGGCAGATCTTTGTGAGTTCGAGGCCAGTCTGGTCTACAGAGCAAGATTCAGGAAAGGTGCAAAGCTACACACAGAGAAACCCTGTCTTGAAAAACAACAACAACAACAAAAAAAAGTGATTATTATGAAAATAAAATTAGTAACATTTAAATTCTAATTCTGTTTACTTGGGAGAATTGGCTTTGCCAAATATTTCCTATTGTGAGAGATGTTAAAATTCTCAGCTAAATTATTATTATTATGGCAGAGTACTTAGTTTACCACTGATTACTGAAGTGGAAATGCAGCAATCTTTTTAGAAGCCAAAGGGTCACTATTCTTTACTAAGTTTACTAGAGTTGCAACCAGTCTAAACTTAAGGCTAATTTCTGCAAAGTTTATTCATTCCTGTTAATATTAATTTTTAATTGTTTCCTAGTGACAGCGCAACTTCCAGGAGCAGGTGGCTACTCAGGAGGAAAGATTATCTTCATTGATACAGAAAATACTTTGTAACCCTTTTATTTAAACAAGTCCTGAGGCAGTGTGGTAGAGCAATATTATTACAAAAGAGAATGTGTCTTGCTGTATGGTTTTTGTAGTGATCCTAGTAACCAACAATAATGACAGAAGCCAAGGGGACAGCAGTGCTGACCAGCGCTCACATCACTGCTTGATTACTTCTCTACAAAACAAATACACGAGATGAAATTGTATCGTAATCATTTTT